ATAAAGTTTAAATTTAAAACAAATTGTAGGAGCAACTCATTATTTTCAAATAAATTTAAAAAACCTCTCAGAAGCTCCAACAAAGTTCAGTCAGGTCATCTGGACGTTTTTTTTTTTTTTTTTTAATATGCTGAGACATTTCGTCCTTCATCCAAAGGACTTCATCAGTCCAAGGAGCCATAACAAACCGAGTCCCACAAGCAGCACTCCCATAGTGGCCCAACCATGAACTTTGATGTTTTGAACCATTTTGGTTATGGCTGCCTCAGAGGAGTCGCTTATCACCAGCGAACTGGTTGGTCCACTATGTGGGTTTGCAGTTTGTGGGACTGGGTTTATTTGTGGCTCCTCTGACTGATGAAGTCCTTTGGATGAAGGACGAAACATCTCGACAAAAAAAAGAAAAAAAAAAAAAGAAGTTGTCCAGATGACCTGACTGAACTTTGTTGGACTTTCTATCTGGATTATTGAGCATGAACTTTGACCTCTCATAAGCTGTTGGATTGATTAATTATTCATTTAACCACAACTGTGCACATGCACAGTTAATATTCATATTTATTAAATACAATTTAACAAAGTTTGTACTTTTGTCCATAGTTCTTATCTAGCTGGTTTTATATCACCTGTTTGAGGGGCAGTTAGGACTTTACAAGAAAAACATGAAGTCTTTATGCTGCTGAGCAATAAAATGAGCAGAAATCTACCTCAGCAGAAAACCTGTTTTCTTTTAGCGTTATGTTTTACCGTTTAAGCTTCTTCCAACTATTTTTAAAGACCCTGCAGATATTATAAATTGCTAAATGTGAGGCTTCTTAAAGCGTGCTGTTACAAGCATACATTTTCAGCACAGCCACGATGCATTCAAAGACAGAAAAAATAATTTGTCAGTGTCTGATCTGCAGATCACTGGTCAAACCAAAAGTCTGTTGATGGCAGTCGCCTGTCAAGATGACAGGAAGTAGATCTTTGAAGAATCACAGTGCTCACAGGAACAAAATAAAAACTTTGACTGAGCGTGTTCAAAAACTACACAAATGTTGGGTAAATTTAGCAACATTTAAAGGCATTAGATATAAACAAAACCGTGTTTACTGACACTCCTAATCACATCTAAACCGGTTTGATTTCATAATAGGCTTAAGCATATTAAGCCCTCACATAAATACCTGCGTCAGGTTAATCTGACACCGACACAAAAGCCCGGTGACCAAAAGCGGGTCAGTTCTCTGCTGCTGCAATGCAGGTGAAGCTCAGATAAAACATGCACATGTGAATATTTAAATACGTGCGCATACGAGTACAACTTCAGCTAGATAAGTGACAAGGCCATACAGGAACCTCTGACATCTCCCCGTCCACAGATCGGTGCCAATAAACAAGCGCTACGATTGGCTGGGAGCCGTGTCCAGCAGACCTGCCCTATATTTCCTGGTGACATGAGCTGGATTGACATTAACTGGTTGGCATCTGCAGAAAGAGGGGGAGGGAGCAGAGCAAGACTGTGGGGGTAGTTTAGGTAATCCAGATCTATATTTATTCATCTACTCACAGATGTTTCATATCATTGCTTCTGAACGGTGAATCATGGCTTCAGTAGATAAACAGCGTTCACTTGAGTCTGAGCGAAGGCGAGGCAGAGTCAGATGAGAGTCCCGTGCCTGAAGGCATGTAGCATACAGGCACATGGCCTTCAGCTGCCAAGTGCCTGGGGTGCCTTCCTCCCATGACCCCACCCTCCCTACAGCTACCGTCTCCTTCTGCCCCGTCCTAAACAAACGCCCCTCTTAAGTAGCTCCAGCCGGGGTTTTAAACCCGACAACCTCACCTGCTTTCTGAGAAACATCCCAGCCTCTTCTGAAGCAGAGCAGTATGTCATCGTGATTGCCATAAAATCTGGCTCCAGCAGCACATGTCAGATAGGTCATGGAGCTATAAATAGACCCGGGGTTGAAGTACTATGCAGCAGCTCTGCCGGCTCAAGCATTGCTTAGCTGTTTCAGAAAACACGGCTCATCCATTAGTAAGGAGCCCTGCGCACCACTCAGCCGAGCCGGATGGTGAAATCTTGAAACGGGGAGATCATGCTGCGTCTCCGAAAATCTGAAAGCAGCTGCAGAGGAACGCAACAGTCAAATAAAAGTGAAAAGCTCTTTATTCTGCGTGCATGCGCTGGGCTGCTTGTCAAACGAGTCTCTGGAATTACCCATTAGCGCTCCGTCAGTGGGAGCAGGATAATCACGGGTGGGTTTATCTTCATTGAAAGCTGCTCACTGTAATGACGAGCTATTCTAAATGTTAATGGGTCACCAGATAACAATTACTCTGAATTTCTAAACAACTGATTGATTTTATGTCTCAATTTTACTGGTTTCTTGTTAAGAATTTGCTACTTTTTCAGCCTGCAGGAACAAATATTACCTCAAAGAAAAGAGTTTGCGACAAAAAAAACATACAAACTAAAAAAAAAACTAAATAGATTGAAAGGTATTTGATGAAAAGTATGAAATCAAGCATAGAAACGGTTATCCTGAACCACATCAAATGGTGCAGCTTTAGAGTTTACTCCTGTAGTTTCCCAGATATACTGAATGTGATTCTGAAATGCGGGTCCACACTCTGTATAAACAAAACACTTGGTTGAATTTGCTGAAAATCACAGTTAAATTTTAGCCACACGATGGACCTACTGTACATTAAGCTGGCCCGAGTCTCTAGGGAAACAAATATGGATGATAAAGTTTATTGTGTGGCATATTTTCAGTCGCTTCGGTTGTTTCCGTAGGTAAACCAACGCACGTAGTAGTTGGCCTCCGCTCACAAATTTTGCTTACAAACGTTTCATTGAAGGCATGTTTTTGCAACGAGTACCTTTAATATAAAAAGGAGAGAATAATTGTAGTTAGGTTTGACTTAAAAAGCTAAAATATTTTTCTGTTTTCTCTATAAACAGGCAGCACGATGGCTCAGTGGTTAGCACTGTTACTGCACAGCAAGAGGGTCCTGGGTTCAATCCCCGATTGGACCTGGGGTCTTTCTGTGTGGAGTTTGCATGTTCTTCTCGTGCTTGCGTGGGTTTCCCCCCACAGTCCAAAGACATGCATGTTAATCTGCCTTCAGGCCCAGGCCTCCTTTGCAAAAGAGACCTGAGATCTCAATGGGATTTGCCTGGTTAAATAAAGGTTAATAATAAAAACCTCTTATATTCCTAAAAGCAGTTTCAATTTCATTGCACCAAATGTAACTACCGTATTTTTCAGCCTATAAGTCACATTTTTTTTGTTTGTTTGGGGTTTTTTTTGCATAATTTGTATGTCCTGCGACTTATATATTGAAGCGACATATTTATGGATTCTTTCCCATATTTATAAACCAATTTTTGGCTGAGATAAGACCGTTTTCATTCATTATGACTAAAAATATTGAACATTACCATTTTCAGCCACTAGACGGCAATCGAGTAGTATGGCATGCTATTGTATCATGTAATAGGTAAAAGTGGCTATTAATGACACAATCGGCTTGCCATAGATTTCCACAGGCATCCAGCTCGACTAAAGCAACTGTCAAATCAGCTGCATCTCGCTGCGCCGCCCCGGAGAAATGCAGCTAATTTGACCATTGAAGTGCATTAATTAAGTAAAAGCTCAACTGACACACCTTTACTATAATGTAGAGCAAACAAATATTTACTTTTAGGTGGTTATCTTGTTAAGTTTTGAAGAAATGCACAGCGAGTTGCCCTCTGCGAATTCCTGTTTTCGTGTATCGTCTTTTGAAAATGCAGCTGATTTGACTGTTAAAGTGCATTTATTAAGGACAAGTTAGACTGAGACACACCTTTGCTATAATTCTGAGCAAACAAATAATTGTTTTTTTAAGTGTTAATCTTGTTAAATTATTGTTAAAGTCCTCCTGTGGTCGCCATTTGGCAGCCAATCGATTTTTGGCACAACACCGGCCCACATTTCCAGGTTGTCAGAGGTGACGCGTAACAAACACGAAGCGTCAGCGGTGACGCATAATATATACAATGCGATATATACAGCAAAGCAACGTATTTATGGATTTTTCTACTTTATTAGACATATTTGGACTGATGCGACTTATTGGGTGGTGTGACGTGTACGGTGGAAAATACGGTAATGTCCTGTGCTTATTTGAGTTACAGTGACTTAAAATATCATGTTGGCATACATTAGCACTACAGCATTATCTAATTTATTTATTAGCACTACCCCGTTTAAGTGTTAGCATAAGGTCACAATACTTTAACAACATCAAGAAAACACTCTTGATTTTTTTTAACCTCATCTTTCCCGGTATAACAAACTCGTAAATCCATCTTCTTACCTGAAAATAAAACTAATTTACAAGTAAATGAAAACTTTACCTATTAAACACAAACAGACAGAAGCAGATCTTTTCGGCTGAACATCTATTAAAATGCCTCTCCCACCACACCCGACGTTTTCACACACAAGCTGTTTTATGTGCAGGGGGTGGGGGGGTAACGCTCCAGTGTCGGTGGGGTGCTGCTTGGCTCGGCCGCGGCAGCGAGCGTCCGGTTACGAGGCTGCAGAAGCAGCAGGAGGTTCACGACGAGAGCTGTGGACAGCCACAGAGGACGCTGTGGAGCTGGACCGGTCTTTGTCGTGGGCGTGTTCAGACCATTCCAGGACGTCGTGCAAATTAAGATTTTTATCTACTAAAACATTTAAAATATTCACCGTGACGCAGTGAAACATTTAATTGCATTTATAACATTTAACTGATACAGTGATTTTTTTTTCCTTCCTCAAAACAAATGCAAAAGTTGTGGTTAAATGTGTATTTTTAGACATTTTGTTCAAGTTTTTCATTATAGGAAGTTCCAAAAGCTCACGTGGACTTTTCAAAGTTAAATTCTGCCGTATCGAGAGTTCCTTCATGAGCCACGACCTCTAACTGAGGCATCATCCTATCAGGATGATATAAATGTTGAAACAAGTTGTGCTTACCTCTAGCAGATAACTTTTTGGTGTTGATTATTTTAGCGGCATACTCCTGTCCTGTTGACAGCTTCACACATCTGCGCACCACTGAAAATGCTCCCCTTTAAACACAGAAAGAAGAAAATAATTGAGCTTTAGTTCAGTGCTACAAGTGGAAATGTCAATCGAGATGCTTTTTGAGCTCAGCTGCAGTTTCTCCGGAGCTCTGGTTGCCTCAATAATTATGACTCTGGATTTGCTGAAAATACACAAAATGACAAAACCCTGCATAACTAGCTCTAATTTATTTTTTCCTGGCTAGAAGCAGGCCTTTATAACATTTCTCAAACGTAACAGAGGAAAGCTGCTTTGAGAGACCAGGCTGCCCAGATTCGTCTGCTTAATAAGCTCCCACGAGGAACCTCAGTCAGCATGTTCAAAATAATGTGCTCACATGTAGAACGGGAGACATTAAACTGAAAAAATGTGTCTCTTAAACAGTTTCAGCATTGATAGACAGGTCCTATAGCTTGGAAATGCACAAGCAGCAAAATGTCAAGAGAAAATTTCTTATAGTCACATTTGTCGGCTTTGGCCTGTGGTCTAAAAGTGTCTTCTCCCAGTACAGTCACAGAAAATATAGCCCTTTAAGACCACAAATTGTATTTTTCACATGAAAATAAGACTAAAATGTGAAATCTGAGCAGCCTCAAGTCAAAAATACGAGTATCTACTTTAAAACTAAAGTTCAAGTCTCTTAACCGCCTTCAGAGTGTTGGTTAATTTATTTCTGTCTGCCCAGTCGGACTGCCACCGAGTGCCGACAGGGAAAGGTTGAATTGTGGCACCGCTCTTGCTCCCAGACCAACGAGGTCAAAGGTGAACGCTGTGAGACCAGATGGGCTGAGACTTGGATGAGCCAACACCAGTTGAATCTGTGTGAGGACACAAAACCCAGCAGAAGACGCTGGGCTTTTCGTGACTCCGTCAGCCGCTGGTAAGAAACAACCATTAAATGCTTGAAATGTCCACTGTCCTTGTAAATGGGGAGAGCGGTAAAGAGGTGAAAGAGAGTCCAGGTAGGATGGAGTGGATGGAGAACAGTTTCAGGAGTGATTTATGACAAAAGGGTGTCAACAAACATCAAAGGAAAAGTTTACAAGACAGTGAGACAGACTCATGGTCTGGAGACAGAGACATGGACAAAAAGACAGGAGACAGAACTGGAAGTGGCAGAAATGAAGATGTTGTTCTCCTTAGGAGTGACAAGGATGGAGAAGATCAGGAATGAGATCATCAGAGGTACAGCACAGGTTGAACAACTGGGAGATAAAGTTAGAGAGAGCAGACAGAGATGGTTTGGACATGTCCAGAGGAGGGACAGTGGGTATATTGGTAGAAGGATGTTAGAAATGCAGCTGCCTGGAAAAAGAGACCTGTCCAGGGTGTCCCCCGCCTCTCACACAGTGATGGACTGGAGACCAAATGAATAACCTCCTGTCCTGTTGTACACCTAGGCGGGTGTCCCCCACTTCTTGCAGAGTGACTGCTGGATATGGACACCAGTGACCCAAAAAGGAAGAAGCGAGTAAAGATGATGGATGGATGGATGGATGGATGGATGGATGGATGGATGGATGGATAAAAACAATTAAAAATAAAACAAACTGACAACCTCTTTCAATTTAGCAGCAACTTCTCAGAGGGGTTGAACCCTCAAAGCTGTTTTGAGCCATGAAAACACCCTGAACTCAAAATGTACTGAAATAAAAACCTAAACAATAAAAGTATATTTTCAGACTTGGATCATTTTATGTTGAGAAATGACCACGGTGTAGTCGACTGGATCAATCTTTGAAAATAACGCATGTGAAGCCGTCACATGTCGTGCTCAGAACACTCTCATCTACCACCACACAATATTTGAGCACAATTTTGATAAAATTTGCTGAATTATAGTGATTTTTGTGTTTTTTATAAGTCAGCTGGCCATGCCGGCCATCTTGAATTAGGTTGACTCCAAAGGTTAATTAGAAGTTTATCCGTTGATTACGTTGAAGTTTTATTAAAATTTGTTCGTAAGATATTTCGGGCACACCTACATTCACCCACTCTCATAATCACAAATATTACGTCTAATGTCCCTTTGGAGAAAAATATTTTAGCATGAAACCATCTTGTAAATAAATTTGAAATGGCAAAGAACAAACTTTCTTTCAAGTTGTTGGTTGTTTATAGCAACTTAATTTATGTTTTAGTCAGCAGAGGCTGATTTCATCTGTATAAAAAAGCTGAGGCAAAGTCACGATGCTGAAATGTCACAAAGACGGAACAAGCAGCCAAAAGTAATCACAGTAATTATCTCTCCTCTGATGCAGGATTACACCGACACACAGAGTATTATCATAGAGATGTCAGGCCATTCACACCTGCGCCCCGTCCTCAGATGTTTGAGACAAATAAACATCTTCTGTGGAAGACACTTTTCAGTGCAGGGTGCATGGATCAGTCTCTCATCCGTGGCCGTGGACTCTGCTCGGTGGGAGTAGTAGAAGTTTAGATTTTCTGCACTCGCTCTTGCTCAAGGTGGACGCCCCCCCCCCCCCCCCCATTCTCCTCTTCCTCCTGCTTTTTGCTCACTGAGCTCCTGTTACACGTCTTCCGAATGAAAAACACTATTATGGATCTGGTGAGCTGGACTTTAACCGCAGTCGACAAATTTTTTTCAACAAAACGACAAGGTCCTGGAGAGCCCTCATGTCCCGCTGAGACTCACGCTGCAGGATACATCATGGACCCATGGGGGGTGTAGGAGCTGATGCGTCTTTCAGTTTTGTCTCAGGATGCCGAAGACGTTTATATAATTGGATTCATGATAGCAGGGTTTCTGCTTTTTGGCATCGGCGGGTTTCTATGTTATTGGCGTTTGAGGAAGACCTCGGCAGCAGTTTTGGCCATGACAAAACTGCCAAGTCTGTGTGAAGGTTTGGTTCGTGCTACGAGTACTCAAAATCAACTAATTTACAAGCTAAACCGTAAGATGGAAGCAGTTTGTGAGAATCGCAGGCCACCTGCGGCTTCTGGGACTCGTTAGCATGTTGGAGTCAACCTTGAATGAGGCTCATGGCACGGATCAGTGGAATGACCATAAATCTGGTCATTATGGATCTGGAAAGTACCAGCAGGACTCAAGCTGAGAAGAAAAAAAATGTTTGCCTTAAGAAAATCAACAATCGTGGCTTTTCTGAATCTGACTCCCCTGTTTGGCCTCAAATACAGGCCGACTATCAAATTTCTCCTGGGACATGGGTAACTAAGGAAAAAGCTTCATCTATCACACCCCCGCCCACCCCCCAAGAACTTCTGTGCAGGCTTATCAGAACTGCCGGCTGACCAACATCTTATCAAGACCATGGCCTATCTGGAAGTGCTTCATGGACACATCTCAACGTCTTGACGTGAAATGCTCATGTAATGTGTTTATGAACGAGCTGCTGGTAGAGGTTTTTCAAAATTGTGTCCTGATTGGACAAGATGCGGAGATCTTTTTTGTAATGCCACTATCCATCCTCATGGCCTTTTCCCTTGTTCTATCTAAAAAAGTATTATGATAGGGGATAAGAGGCTGTGCTCCTGTAGCAGCAGCAACGTGCACTCCGCCCATCTTTTGAACAACTGTACGAACATAACTCACTGTATCTCGGTACAATGATTATAAAGTTTATTCTGATTTCTCTGAGAGGTGTGTTGTTTTGCGTTTACTCCACAGCCAGGATGGCAGGATGAAATAAAACAGGGTTTAACAGAGAGTTAGGCAGGCTGAACATTCCCAGCAACAACATTTATCACTGCAGGGATGAGACAAGCTTCCCAGGGAGGCCGTGCCGTAAATGAGTCTGATCAGGAGTCTGCTGTGCAGTCGGGGTGCAGACAACAAACTATTTCTCTTTGTCCAAACAACAATAACACACCAAGGTGCATGTCTGGGTTAGAGCTGGACGCCGTGACCAAAAATTATTTTTGAAACAGTTTTAAATCCTCCTTTAGCCACTGAAATAATATTTAATTAGTCGGAGGACCAAAGGAAACTGGCTTTAGCCATTTGACCTTGGTTCCGTAGTTGGGAAAAACAACAACAACCCACCGTCATATACAGTAGTCCAATAAAAGTAGTTATTTTAATCAGTCAGGATGCAGTCTGACAAACTTTGATTATTCATTTACTGCCTCTGAAAGCTCGACAGCTTCAGTTGAGCCGTTCTGCTGACTTCTATTTCAAAAGCAGCGTGCCAGCTTGAGGTTCCTAGATAAGCGGGGATGCTGTGATGCGTTTGAAGCGTCTGGGAAAAACTAAACTCCTCACGATTTAGATCCAGATGCTAAAAATTAGCTGTTGAAATTCATACTCAATATTTGTGATGTAATTTTAGATATCGAACAAAAGCAAACTAATTAATTGACAAACTGACTGACTGACCAACTGACTAACTAACTGACAAACTGACAGACGGACTAACTAACTGACAGACTGACTAACTAACTGACAGACTGACTAACTAAGTGACTGACTGACTAACTAACTGACAGACTAACTAACTAACTGACAGATTAACTAACTAACTGACAGACTGACTAACTAACTGACTAACTAATTGACTAACTAACTGACAGATTAACTGACATACTAACTGACTAACTAACTGACAGACTGACTAACTGACAGACTGACTAACTGACAGACTGACTAACTGACAGGCTAACTAACTGACAGACTGACTAACTAACTGACTAACTAACTGACTAACTAATTGACTAACTGACAGACTGACTAACTGACAGACTGACTAACTAACTGACAGACTGACTAAATAACTGACAGGCTAACTAACTTACGAACTAACTAACTGACATACTGACTAACAGATTAACTGACAGACTAACTAACTGACTAACTAAATGACAAACTAACTGACAGACTGAGTAACTGACAGACTGACTAACTGACAGACTGAGGAACTAACTGCCAGACAGACTGACTAACTGACAGACTAAAACTAACTGACAGACTGACTAACTAACTGACTAAAACTAACTGACAGACTGACTAACTAACTAAAACTAACTGACAGACTAAAACTAACTGACAGACTGACTAATTAACTAACTGACAAACTAACTAACTGACTAACTAACTAACTAACTGACAGACTGACTAATTAACTGACTGACTAACTAACTAACTAACTGACAGACTGACTAATTAACTAACTGACAAACTAACTAACTGACTAACTAACTGACAGACTGACTAACTAACTGACTGACTAACTAACTGACTGACTAACTAACTAACTGACTGACTAACTGACTGACTGACTAAAACTAACAGACTAACTGACAGACTGACTAACTGACTGACTAACTAACTAACTAACTGACTGACTAACTAACTAACTAACTAACGGACTAACTGACAGACTGACTAACTAACTGACAGACTAACTAACTGACTGACAGACTGACTAAAACTGACTAACTAACTAACTGACAGACTAACTAACTGACTGACAGACTGACTAAAACTGACTAACTAACT